CTACACCTTTGTCTTCAGGTTGGCCTATTCCGCAGTTTAGATGCAAAGGTAAGCCTTTGCCCTGGATACAACAAATCTACGATTTAAAAAATGACGCCGCCAATAACCGTTTCTCCAAAGTTTCTTGTGTGACTTTTCATGCCTTGGAATCATGGGATAGTATGTCGGCTGCTGACATTCGTGCTTTGTTACCGCCAAAACCCGGGCCAATTCTTCGCTTCAAAGCAGGCCTCAAGCGCCTTCAGCGTTCTCAGGCTCATCTTGAACAGTTTCAGCAGAAACAATTGCTCGAAGATTCTTTCAGAAATCACATTCTTGCACAGCGCTGGAGCTCTGAGGAGCCCTGTGTGAATTGCGCAAAGCTTCTTTGTCTTTCTTCTGAACCTAGAAATCTTGCCCGTAGATGTCCTACTCCACGTGACATTCCTGTAGATACTCTAAATCAATGGCACCAAGAATTCGGTGCCATGATGCAATCTGTTAATCGTGTCATTGACAAGCTTAGAGCTTAATCTGCTCTGAGAAGTCTTGTTCAAGAGGGTGCAACTGTCACTCTACGTCTCTTTGCTCGCCCCGACGTTCAGTCCGCTTCACCCCAAAACCCTATTCTGACTATTAAGGCCGCTCCATTAGCTCTCGAGCGGAAGGCGCCTGCTTCGCGACCTTCCACGCTCAACGGGCCCCCGACGGCTGCGAAATCAAAGGCCTGGCAAGCGTGGCCTGCAGTTGCGACGCGGTCGTTCGTAAGTTGCACGCTAACTTTGCAGCACAGTTCAGGATGCCGGTTTCATTTAGCATGGGGCTCTCGGGTGCCGGGGCTGTTTAGCACAGCCAGTACCGTTCTGTGCTTTCCAGAGCGAGAATTACTCAAAGGTGACTGTGTGTGTGTGTGCGCTTTCCTGACGTTAAACCGCTGCATGCATGAAACATTGAGCATCCGAACAGGGACATCATAGAGAAGTTTCATGATTAATGCTGCCTTGCTTTCAGAAAGAGAAAGGCGCAACCCACGAAGCCCCACACAGGCAACAAGGACGCATAGCAAGCGCATGCGCAACCTTATGAACGAAAGCCGCCACGGCATCTTTGGGATGGGAACGATGATGTCGATTGTACAAGTTTTGATGGAGTTGCAAAACTTTAGAATGCATAACTTAATGCTTAGCAGTGAAAGTTTAAGACCTGTATGCAACCCTGATTTTGGTGATTTGGGGGTTAAGCATCGATCATCAGCTTCTGCAACAACTAAGCCCATCCCACCCATCTCCTAGACCTTGCGCCTGGAGCGGTGCATTGGGTGTGGGAGGCGCCAGCACCGGGCGAACGGGCGGCAGTGCCCACAGCTGCGGGCGCAGGCTGTCTGCTTTGCAGCGGTTGGCTGGATGAACGCCCAAGCAAAGCCGACTGGAAACGGCACAGTTCAGACAAGGAGAGTATAGAGTAAAGAAGAGTAGACGTCGCAGCCTTGTGTTGCGAGAGGCTGTCGAACGTGCGTTGCATGATAGGGCCAGTGAAGTGGCGATCGCACAAGTTTGGAGGTGAAGCTTCAGCGCCTTCCGCAGCGAAGGCCAGCCACCGGGCGGAATAGCATGCAGTCGGGACAGTTGGCTGCAAGTTGTTCGGTGTCGCCTAGCTCTCGAGCGGAAGGTGCCTGCGGCTTTGCCGCCTCCGACGGCTGTGACATTCAAGGCGCCAGCCTGTTTGGCAGGCTGATGCTGTATAAATTGCAAGTCGCAAGTCCATGGAGTTTTGCTGTGATAGAAGCACCGAGCCGTCCTTTTGCATGCCAGCATCATGTGACAGAACAGTCAGTGACCACGCAAATGATGCAAAGATGGTCTGTGCGTCCTTGGCAGGGAGACTTCCCGTCTGTCTTCCCGACATTAACTAAAGCCAAGGCAAGCATTAGACTTAAGCATCTTGAACCTGGCAAGCAGGACGTCGTCGAGAAGTTTAATGATTGTGCTGCCTTCATATAGAAAGGCGCAACCCGCAGGACCGAACAGACGCGCAACCAGGATGCACACAAACCTTACACGAAACCTAAGGAAAGACAACAACCAGAGCACTTGACTCATGTGTTGTGCAAGGCCGTGTTTGAAACTGTTGATGCCATGCATTCGGTTTCAAGGCGTCATTGGCAAAGAAAAGATGATGTCGAGGTTACAGGTTCTCGGGGGAATTCAGGAGGTGGTGCTTAAATGTGGTAGTTCAGGATCGGGATACAGACCAGTTCAGTGTTTAAAGGTTTCGCATCGGCTATCATCGACTTCTGCAATAGCTAGGCCTGCTTTGCCAGGCTGCACGGACCTTTCAGTGACTGCTCTTGGGCCTGACGCTTATACGTCTTATACGTCTCGGCCTCATACCTTGGGCGTGGGAGGCGCCAGCACCGGGCGAACGGGCGGCAGTGCCCACAGCTGCGGGCGCAGGCTGTCTGCTTTGCAGCGGTTGGCTGGATGAACGCCCAAGCAAAGCCGACTGGAAACGGCACAGTTCAGACAAGGAGAGTATAGAGTAAAGAAGAGTAGACGTCGCAGCCTTGTGTTGCGAGAGGCTGTCGAACGTGCGTTGCATGATAGGGCCAGTGAAGTGGCGATCGCACAAGTTTGGAGGTGAAGCTTCAGCGTCTTCGGCTCCTGCAGCTTTGCGAGCTTCCACGCCCAAACGGCCCCCGACAGCTGCGAAATCAAAGGCCTGGCAAGTGTCTCTTGCAGTTGCCATGCCGGTTATATTGCAAGTAGCACGCTCGTGGAATGTTCGTCTTTGCAAGCACAGCTCAGGAGATCGGAGATCGGTTTAGTTTATCTTCCGTGCTGCGGTTGTGTAACAGAGCTTTTTTTGTGCCCTCCAAAGGAGAATTACACAGAAGATAAACACTTCAATCGAAGCAAGCACGAGACTTGAGCATGGCAATGGCAACAAGAAGATCCTCGAGAAGTGTTTTTTGCATTAACAGCTGGAAAGACACAACCCGCAGGAGCACGCACACACACACACACAACACGGGCGCGTAAGCACCGCGAGTCCCTGAAAGCTTTGCAGGAGAACCACCAGGCTGGGGAAGCCTTACGTGCAACAGTTGAAACCATGCATTCGGTTTCAATCCATCATTGGCAGAGAAAAAAGCATGAGGTGGAGGTTCCACGTTGTGGGGGGAATTTGCAGAATGAGGGTGCGGGATTGTGGCGCGAAAGTTTAGGATCGGGATGCGGCTTGGTTTTTCACTGTTTGAGGGGTTGACCTCGGCTATCATCGGCTTCTGCAAGCTTCGGTGACTGCTCTTCTTAAGACACCTACGAATTTGAAGCAGTTTGTCGCACGGCTTTGATGCAATCTCTGCCATATAGATGTGGGAGGCGCCAACGCCGGTTCAACGGGCAGCACTGCCCACAGCTGCCCCTGCAGGCAGCCTGCTTTGCAGCAGGCTGTTATCATTTCCAGCAATCGCAGAAATTGCAGGTCAAGCGTCAGCGCCGTCCGAAGCGCAGGCCAGCGACAGAGAACATGAGAGCCCCTGCTAGACATGTTGGAAGCGATCCCACCAGAGCCCGATGTTCCAGAAGCCAGAGGCTGCAAGCATTCTAACCGATTCTAACCTTTAAGTGGCAACAACACCCCTATGTAGCATTACTCCATATTCTGCCGATCTCCCTTGCGTAGTTGTCTTTCATTGGAGCCTCGATCATTCTCTGCTCACTGTTATCTCGTGATTCTCGCCTCACATGCATCCAGTTCCTTGTTTGAGTTCAATATGTCACGGTGTCAACCAAAGGCTTGCAAAAGTTGAGTGCTCTGTGCATCGACAATAGGATCGTCTGGTGTCTGTCGGCACCCGTTCTCTGAAACAACTGCTATATAGCCTCTTCAATCTACAAGTCATGGTTTAATTGTCGCTGGCACATGCTATCTGCTTTCTTGTGTCTTCGACGTGATATTTCTTCTGCCATGGTTCTCATGTGTAAGTGTAAGACTCGACTTTGTGTACGTACGAGTTTGTGATTTTGGCTTGGCTTCTGCCGTTTGCACCAGGGAAGGTTGTGGGGCTCTTAGAGTATCTGAGCGTCTTAACGCTCAGCCCTGCTGGAAAGTTGATGTTGTGTTATGTACCACATGGCTTCGGGGTGCATGCTCGCAGAAAACGCATGTGCACGCGTATATATATATATGTATATAT